TGGGAAGGTATCATAGAGTGCCAGGTTATTAGAACAAGGTGTTCTTGTGTCTAGGGAGGCCTTGAGTAGAGGCCCAAAGTCCATCTGTTTTCTTAATACTTAACATTTAAGTATATGTACATTGACCTATACCCTGTCATTATAAATTAATATATTTACATATATACATGCCTATACCTATAACTCTATAAATAGCTTTTGCCTCCTAGTTCTTTCTTCTATTTCTTTTCACCTTCCTCCTGTCTCACTGTCATGCCGCCCTCCATGTGCCTCTCAGTAATTCCTCTCAGCTGCACTGCATTTGATCAAGCCCAGCAGGCATTCTATGCCCTCCTCCCCATCAATATTAGATCTATTGTTGCTCCCTTGTCCCTGAGTTTGTTGGCTCCCCACTCCCTTTCCCCTGCCTCCTCTTCTTCCCGCCCGCCCCCCAACTGTCCTGTTGTTTAATCCTTGGTATTGTTAATCCTACCTGTCTTATATAGATAGACATAAAACAAATTTTTTTAAGCCTAAAATGGTTCCAGATCTGTCTGTTGACCCTTATGAATGTTTTCCAATCGGGTCTAAGGTTTCAAACTCTGTCCCCCTATTTTCAGGATTCCTTTGGGGACTTCGTTACTTTGCTCACCTTGCTGCCCTGTTGTGCTTCCTTCATGTATCTCCCCGCTGTGTGGGGATCAGACCGGGCACACGTTCCGCAGTATGTTTCCAGTGTTGTCTCCCGTAGCATTGTGGGTCAGGGAGGGGATGTCGTGTCTCATGGTGGGGCTGGCCCCACGGTCCTCTCTGTGCATTGGTTGCTATGAGCAGGGATGTTGTCCTCGGGGCTTGGTGGGTCATGATGAGGTCTACTCTTTCTTTTTCTCTCTTCCTCTTAGTTTGCTTTCGTGTGGTCTAGGAGACCCGCCACGCTCTCTGGCTTTATCTTCAGTGCTACCTCTGTATGACATTCTTCTGGAAAGGGGTCCACATAGCTTAGCTTGGGTCCAGCCCTGTCGAAGGATGACTTCTTGACTTGCTCACTACCATGGAGTCAATTCTGACTCATGATGACCTGATGGGACAGGGTAGATCTACCCTTGTGTGTTTCTGAGACTGTAACTTTTGGGGGGAGTAGAAAGCCTCATCTTTTCCCAGCAGAGCTGCTGTTGGTTTTGAACTGCTAACCTCTCTGTTAGCAGCCCAACTCACACCCACTACACCATCAGGGCTCCTGAGGTTTCTTGAAGGAGGTAACATTTGAGGATGGAATGTTGACATGAGCTAAGAGCCCTGACAAGTGAAGGGGAAAGCATGCCAAGCAGAGTGCCCTGCTGGTGCAAAAGCCCTGAGGAGGGGATGGAGTTGTCAAGGTGGGACCGGGTAGGAGGGGGGGGACAGAAAGCTGGGAAGGAGGGAGTGGTGGGCCTGAGGGAGGAGAAGAAGTCAGAGGGCAGGACTGTGGTGAAGCAGCTTTGATTTTATTTCAAGTTGCAAACATGTAGTGTAAATATCCAGTTTAAACATTCTCATGAGATGCTGAGCCGGCTGGTCTTCACCGAAGGCTTTGCCAGGTGATAGCACAGCATTAGCGTGCTTTCTTTTGGGAACTTCATTTTATTCACTCCCCAATCCCTTCGTATTCCGAAAGGAGTTGGTTGGGTTTTGTTTTATGAGGATGGCTTAGCAGAATGAGCGCATTTTCACCAGGCAGCATTCTATCGGCACGCGAGCCTTTGTGTGTAAGCTCATGTCTGCCCAAGAGATCCGAGGTCCCATTTGTCTGCAGCCTCTTCTTCCCCAATTTTGGTTCCGTTCCCACCAGCCCTGAGCAGCCAGGGAGTATACCGACAGAAGTCGAAGTCTGTTCTCTCAGAAATAAATGGTAATTGAATACGCACAGTGAGCCAGCCTTGAACTCTGGGACAGCTATCTAGGGGTGACCCCGAGGCCAGCACCAGCCTGGGGGTTGGATATATAAATTAAGGACTTCGAGCCCGGGACACCTTTGAAAGTCGGCAGCTGAAGTTTCCTCTCTTCTCTCTTTGTAATCAACCTTCAAACTTGGAGGTCACTCCAGCGCTGCCCCCCCACCGCCCCGCCCCCTCCCGCCTCCCACTGGAACTCCACCTTGTTTCTAAGGAGCCCGGCCCCTGTGCAATGCTTCAGTGCTGCTCTGTAAAGGTCGGCAGTCAGCTCCCAGCCTTTGGCACTGAGGGAGAAAGGCCCGGCGATCGACTTCTAGGAAGACAGCAGCCTCGCACACCGCATTGGGCTGTTCTGTTTGGTCACCTGGGGTCTCTGAGTCAGAATCCACCCCAGGCCATCTAACAGCTACTGCGGCAGCAACAAGCTCACGAGGACGGAACAGTCACCGTGCAAGCTGGCCGTCTCACATTAAAGACAGGCCTTTGGGTGAATACATGCGCCACCCTTGTAGGTCAAGCGGAAGTTGGTTGACATAGGCCAGCGCACCTGTAAGGGAAATAAGCAAGGAATCTGTGCAAAGGTCGCACTGGCTGCCATCAAGTTCCAGAGACCCCGCCCCTGTGGGTTTCCCAGGCTGGAACTCTTTGCGGGAGTAGAAAGCCTCATCTTTCTCCTGTCGAGTGGCTGGTGGTTCTGAACTTCTGCCCTTTCGGTTAGCAACCCAATGCATAACCACTATGCCACCAGGGCTCCCTGGGCAAAGGCCCAGTGTGTGAAAAATGAGATTTCAGTTGAGACTCTGGTATCCCCAGGATGGCAGCCAAAAAGATAGAGTTAGTGCCTGCCTAAGGAATCTTATTTTTACCTAGGGTTGCCTTAGGAAACCCAACCCAACCCACTGCGGGGTACATAGTGACCCCACAGGTCAGGGTTGATTGCCCCATTGGGTTTCCAAGGCTGTAAATCGTGATGGAAGCAGACCGTCACATCGTTTTTTCCGAAGAATTGTTGGTGGGTTTGAACCGCTGACCTTTAGGTTAGCAGTGCAGCGTATAACCCACAGCGCCACCAGGACTCCTGAAAATGCTTCTATTAAAGCCCTCTGGGGATCCACATGGTTTCCGGGGGGTGGTCTAGGGTCAGGTAGATGTGGTGCAGGGTAGGGCTTGGGAGATGCGCATGCCTCTGATTGCGAGGAGAGAATTGACCCATTGATGGTCTCTTTGCAGCTCCTTGCGGATCCTTGCGCCAGCAACCCCTGTCACCATGGTGACTGCAGCAGCAGCGACGATGGCTACCTTTGCGTTTGCAGCGAAGGCTTCCGAGGGGCCAACTGTGACCAGGCACTTCCCAGCCCCCCTGCCTCTGGCTGGACCGAGGCCACAGCCCCTAGGCAGCTCCAGCCAGCCCCTGCCACCCATGAGCCGGACATCAGCCTGCCCCGCTCGCCAGCCACGGCGACCCTGCCCACTTGGCAGCCGAAAACGGGACAGAAAGTTGTGGAAATGAAGTGGGATGAGGTGGAGGTGAGGACGGGTGCTTACATCTCTTTCAACTCCAGCAACCAGAGAATGAAAATGCACGGGGAGGCCTTTATGTTAAGTTCAAGAGAACCAAACGAAGGTTCCAGACTTTTTTTCTGTGAGGTCCTGGTGGTTCCGTGGTAAGATTTTTGCCTTCTGTGGGGAGACCCAAGCTCCATTCCCTGGCAGTGCACTTCATGGACAGATATCGACCATCTGCCAGGGGAGGTTGGCATCTTGATAGGACGTTGGACAGGTTTCAAGGGAGCTATGCGACTAAGAGGTACTAGGAATAAAGACCTGGAGACTCCCTTTGGAAAATCCTTCGGGAAACCTTCGGGTCATCGTGGCCCATGTTTTGTTTCCTCGTACACGGGGTCACAGATTTGAGGGTCTGCCGCCATGATAACCTCGTTCTGCCCCCACATGTAGAGTCTAACACACACTCTTGGTTACAGTGGTTTTGGGAGCACAAAAGGAATAACGAGAGAAAGTGAACGAATGACCTTATTTTCTAGACAGAGTCCCACACGCATTGCTGGGAGGTGATCTTTAGCCAGCCCCCCACCCCAGCTTTAGAGGCCGCTCATTGTGGGCATGGAGCTGAGCGTGGCCTTCAAGGGTTGACCTGGTTTCCCTTCATGGACTATTATACCGAATTTATATTTCTGGTGTCATTGCTTTGGCTCTAGTTACGTGCTTCATAGGGCTTTGGTGGGATTTAGGAAAGAGTAGCTATCATTGATTTAAAACCCTTTCCCCAGCCCAGAATGACATTTCAGAATGTTATTTATTGGGGGCGGTAGGGAAAGCCGTGGAAACAGGTTGCTTCTGGGTGCGGAGGGGCGTTCCCAGAGCACAGGAAGCCTTCTTTGGAAGAGTTTTCAGCCAGCCGCAGGAAGTTGATCTAAAATGTAAATGTACGAGTTCGAACAGATGGGCAACAGTTGAAGCCGAATTTGAGGCCACATTGATCGAACGTGATCCCACTCCATCGCTCCCACAGTATGTCCACTGTACCCTACCACTCCATCGCTCCCACAGTATGTCCACTGTGTGCTCCTACTCCATCACTCCCACAGTATGTCCACTGTGTGCTCCTACTCCATCGCTCCCACAGTATGTCCACTGTGTGCTCCTACTCCATCGCTCCCATAGTATGTCCACTGTGTGCTCCTACTCCATCGCTCCCACAGTATGTCCACTGTACCCTACCACTCCATCACTCCCACAGTATGTCCACTGTGTGCTCCCACTCCATCA